ACCCCCTAATGATCATCTACCTAATCACATGAGCCAAAAACAGGTGTGGGTCACAATCAGCCAGAGTTTCAGGTGAGCTCATTGTGAAACCTGGCCCCACCCTATCATGTGATTTCCTGAGGTCAGATGGCCCAGGATGTGAGTGGGCGTTAAGGCGTCTGATGGCAGACAGTTGGTGTCGTAAAGTGGCCATAGATGCTTCTTTCACTCCTCTTTCAAACCATCTGTCCTCTCTGTCCAAAATGTGAACATTGGCATCCTTGAAAGAGTGACCTTTGACCTTTAGATGAGGTGGCTCTTCTATGTTGTGCCATGCGTTTATGAACTGATTCTTTGGTTTGTCCAGTGTAGAGGTGTGAGCATTCCTTGCTTCACTGCACAGCATATACTACGTTGTTTAGTTTGTGTTGGGGAGTTTTGACTTTGGGTTTCTCTGATAAACATGAATTGATCCGAGAAACTCAGGATAGTCTTCTCCAAGCACGACATCCCAGCTTTTATTTAGAAACACAAGAACGCAAACACTGATGATCAGGAGCAAACAATCCCAAAACTAGTAAACTCGGGGAAATGTGCAACAAGGAAACACAAAACCATGAGGGCAAACACCATAAACAAAAAAGTGTGGAGTTTTAACATAAATCCGAAGTTGAAACCAAAAGGACGTTGTGAAGTCACAAAACACAGAATGATCCTAAAGATTGACCCAGAACTAAAACCATGAAATATAACCAAAAGAAACTTGAAAATACAAAACTAAACACCAACAGTACAAAACCACGATCCAAACACAATCAAAAAAATTCTAAACTAGAGAAAACCTAAAAGTCAGAAAAACTCGAAGCCCTCGACCCAGGGACCCTGACAGCAGTCATAATACAGAGTAAAATTACACATTATAAAGGTGACATTTTGACACACCGTTGCTACAATCATTCCATGTGCTATGGTACATATAATGATTGTAGCATTGTATGCATATTTGTTTGTTCCACATCTCCTGCATGTATACTGAGGGGTTTGTTAGAATATAGTAATATAATTCAGGGAACCACATTTTAATCATGCTGCATCAGTCTGAAAAGTTCAAATGAGCATCAGTGTCTCATTTACAGGAAGAATTCAAATAAGAAACATTTGAATTGCAAACAAATACAACAGAAACAATTCAAATGAGCAGCAGTTTCTCTTCTGCAGAAACTATTGTCTGCTTTTCCCTTTGATAGAAATCTTTCTTGGACAATGGTCAGAAAACACGCTCGTGCTCATTTGCAAAATTCAAATAACCATCAGTGCGTTGTGAACAGAAAGAATTCAAATCAGAATTTATTTTTTAAATATTCCCTTTGAAATAAATGGCTAATAAATAAAACACCCACAGGTAAAGGCATGGTTTGCAAAACACAGTTAGAACTTTAATCTAAATGACCTTTAACTACAGAACTCTGTAATTTTAGCAGCTGCTTCTACCAGTACCAGTGAACACCAAAGCCTGAAACCAGTAAGGAAGTTTAGAGAGCTGCAGAGATGTTATTTGCGTAGCAAGAATCTGAAATGAGGAGAGTTCAGTCACCGCTCAGTCGTCTGTCTGCAGGAGGATCTTTGTAGCAGCTCAGTATGTATACAGCTTCCTTTTATTTTGTAACTTCATATGACTTTTTAACATGCATTAACACATGAAAATATCTCGAAGGAGTCTGATTTTCTGCAGGTTTATGAAAATAAAATGAGACCTCCAGTCATCCTTTTCCTCATGACAGCATTGGCCGGTAACTGTATACCTCTCCATTTTGAGTTATTTTATTATTTATTTTCTGGTTTTCTTTGTAAACTTAAAATGCATTTATCTGGTATTCAGGCTTTCAGTGGGAGAAAACACAGCATTTAAACAGTGATTTCAGTGACCTTCATTTTAAGAATTCGTTAAATTTGTGTGACACCTCTGTTTTTCCCCTGCCTGTCAACTTAGTTATACCATCTAATTATTTTTATACAGAAAAACACAGTTTTACCACAGTTTCTTTTTTAAACCATTTCAAAGTTTTAGTAATGTTTTTATTAATTTTCCTGCCTCTCAGGGAGTGTTCCCATCAAGACCTTGGTTTTCCCCACTGAGTCATGCACCAGTTTTGTTGAGATGATGCCTCAGAAGCCGCTGAACCTGACTGCGTTCACTCTGTGCATGCGAGTGGCCACGGAGCTCAGTGGCCAGCGAGCGATCATCCTCTTTGCATACCGGACTGGAAGCTACGATGAGCTGAATGTGTGGTGTGAACTGGATGGAAGGTAGGACATCTTAAAGTCAACATCTACACTGTGAGCTTCCCCCAAAAATAATATCAACCAAATCTGAAAAGTTCCCACTCACATATTTCATGTACACTAACTTTATTCTGTTAATGGAGGCATGCTGGGATAGACTCCAGGCCTTCACGGCCCTGATAATGTTCTGCATAAGAAAATGGATTGGTTTCAACAGAATGTGTCAAAATGAAAATTACAGATGGATTTCTCCTGTACTTACAAATCTATGAAGGAAAAACAGCCCACAGTATGACCTCCCATTATGTGGTTTATTAAATATACTGAAGTTATTGTGGAGCACAGTCGGGGGTCAGGTGGTTTTTACAGTGGCCCTGAGAGGCCAAACGGACCGCAACTTCAGAAAACACCAGCAATAAGAAAAATGCTGCAGAAGCACACAAAACACAACGCAAATAGGAAAAAACAGACTTCCAAAAGCACAAGGGAAGTGTTTCTGGGGAGACAATAACCAGAAGGACCAGTTGCAGGAACCAAAATATGCTAAGAATTGTACTGGGAGACACTTAAAAGAAGTGGAGGATCTATCAGTTTTGTGAGGTAAGTGTGTTAGCCTAACTATTAGTTATTTGAATCATGAGATTAAAACACACTTACCCAGCATGTTTTGGT